GGGAAGCCCATTTGTGAAATGGCAGGGATGAGGGAGATGCCAGGCTGGGCACAGAGGCAAGGTGGAGGCAGGGCTGAGGCCAGCAAGATGTCTCGACACACGTGAGAGCCACGTTTAAGGAAAAGTCCTCTCTTTCATTCACATGTCCCACGTCTGGGGCAGGGGCAGTGGCAGGTATGGAACGTAAGTCTGCCCAAACGGAGGAGACGGCCGGCGTAAGGAAAGGCCCACGTGTGTGTCTCAGTAGGATGCTGAGCATTTGAGAAGACCCTGGTGTCTGCAACTGACACGTGTCAGAGACGGCTGGCTGCCTGCTGGAGAGAACTGCTGCTTTTCAGGGCTCCCAGAGTTACTGCAGAGGGGTTGTCTGCTCGGGGACTACACTTCCAGCCCCCTCTGTAGGTAGACATGCAACTTGGAGCCAGCCCACGGAATGTGAGTGGCAGTGATGTGTTCCTCCCATGTGGGCCAGTTCGTGTGTTCCTCCGCTTCCGGCAGGTGGGAATGGAGGCGACCCCAAGGGCAATCCTGAAGTCCCTTGGGGCCGATGGCAGAGCCTGCATATCTCAGGGCTAGTGCAACTCACTAGGGCATAAACAATTTTGCTATCACGGTGGTGGAACTACAACATCATATTAAGGGCATTCTCAGTAATACAACAAATTGATCATTTGGAAAATTGACTTTTGACAATCTGGTTTTCAGCAAATTCTTCCTTGAGGATATATATATATGTATTTTTTACTTCACTTGCTTCCTTTAGAAAGATCAAGTAGTGTTCTGAGTAAAATAACACACCAGTTTTAGGTAAAAGGCAGCTGATGTTACTCACAGATTTAGTTCATAGATGTTCTATCCTGTGGCTAGGTCGGGAAGGACTTGCCTTCGTTGTTCTTCTACCCATAGGATGCCAAGCTCCCTATAATGCTCCTTCTCTCTTAAGAGGAAGAAACCAGGGAAGTAGAGAGAGGGAGAGAGAGAAGGGAGGTCACTGAGGATTCACTCACTTAAGGTCACCAGTGCTAGCCTAGAAGCAGACCTACACCACTCATGGGGAAAAGTAAAGAACATCTATCTCATCCTCTGGCCCGCGTGTGTGCCCCCTGGATTATGTCATTACTAAAACATGTCCAGTAATGTCCTGCCTTCTTAGTATTGGGAGTATAACAGTGCAGTTGTAGGTCTAAGCCCTTCATTTCACAGGTGGGCAATCTGAGACCCACAGAGAACAAGGGGCTGCCCCAGGGCACTGTTTGTAAATTGCAGAGTTGGGTTTTCCCACCTTTACTTGATTGAAAGACTTCATAAGGCCCCCTCCCACTCCTCACACCCATATGCACCTTCTAGCAGCTGCACTTTCCTTCCTGTGAGTTGGTGAAAACCACACGGTGGGCCTGCAGGGCGACACGCCCGCCGTCACTGCTCATGTGTCATCAGGCAGGCTGCACGGTGCCCCAGATGGAAGGACGTGGCAGAGGAGCTTCTTGCACAGGGCCTCCCACCCATGCGTCTGCTCCTAGTTACATTTCTCAGGGGAATCCCTCCTGCCTTCTGCTGGTGGCCTCATGGGGCAAATGGCTTGAGTCACTCTCACCGCAGCACTCAGGTGACCTCAGAGGGCGACCACAGGGCTGGGAGCTGGAGCTGTCTGGAAAGTAGTTTCCCTTTTAATGTCTGTCTAGAAGGGCTGTTGCTCTTTACCCCTCTCCCTGGTCCTGTCTACCTTCCCTGTGCTCCTCTTAGTTTGATTGTTCTAAGCCACGACTGTGACCATGACTTTCCGAGAGCTGAGAGAGGCATGCAAGCCCAAGCAGGGCCTTCAGGGAAGCTCTCCAGCCCCCTGTGGCTACCCTTGCCTTATGTATCTTACACAGTGGGCATGCTGTTGCTATTTCAAGAGCATTGCTGCCTTTGCACCCCTATGCTCTTGCTCAAGCTGTTTCTTCTGTCTAGACTTTTCTCCCCCACCTGGATGGCTTGGAAACACTCCCTCCTCATTCTTTTGTTTTTAAAATTACTTATTTAAAAAAATTGTGGTAAAATATATATAACATAAAATTTATCATTTTAACCATTTTTTAGTGTACAGTATAGTAGCATTAAGTACATCCACACTGTTGTGTAACCATCACCATATAGCCTATCTCCAGACCTCTTCATCTTACAAAACTGAAACTCTGTGCCCATTGCACAATGACTCCCAGTTCCCCTCCCGACTAGCCCCTGGCAGTCACCATTCTATTTTCTGTCTCTATGAATTTGACTACTCCAGGTACCTCGCAGGGATGGAGCTGTACTGTATTTGTCTTTGTGTGACTGACATTTCACTTAGCATATGTCTTCAAGATTCATCCATTCTGTGTCAGAATTTCCTTCCTTTTTAAGGCTTAATAATATTCCATAGTATGGACAGACCACATTTTGTTTATCCATTCATCTTTCGATGGCACTTAGATTGATTCCACCTTTTGGCTATTGTGACTTAATTTGTGGCCTAACATATGGTCTGTCCTGGAGAATGTCCGATGTGCACTTGAGCAGAATGCATGTGCTGTTGTGGTTGGTCTATTATGTATTACGTCTGTGAGATCTAGTTGGTTTATTGTGTTATTTAAGTCCTTTAGTTGCTTATATTCTGTCTGGTTGTTCTATCCATCCATTATTGAGAGTGGGATAGTCATGTCCAACTGTTATTGTAGAATTGTCTATTTCTACCTTCAGTTCTGTCAATTTTTGCTTTATATATTTTGGTGGTCTGTTATTAGGTACATAAATATTTCTCTTCATCCTTTAAGACTCTATTCATATGCTGCCTCTGGGGCCCTCACTCCATGCTTCCCCTCCTTGAAGTATATAACGTGTTTGCCGTTTGATCTGAAGTACCGTGGGCCCTCTTGCAATAGTCAAGGAGCTTTTTCTTATTTTGAACTAGGATCTGCCCCTTGTGAGCACCCTCCCACTCTTTCCTCTGGAGCCCTGCAGAGTAAATCTGCTCTCCCTGCCCCTGACATCCTTCCAGGGATGTGGCAACACTGACTACATCCTCCTGAGTTTCTCCTTCCTCAGGCTGAATGGTTCCCCTGCCTTCAAGCTCCTCTGTTGCTTTTCTAGGGCCCTCTCCCTCTCTGAGCCACCATCTCCAGACATGCTCCATACTGTCCCTGGCTGGGTCTGAGGGACAGGAAGGGCATCCCCAGAACAAGGCATCCCCAGGCTGGCTGGGAGAGACGGCAGGGGGCTCTAACTGTGGCTTCCTCCAGGGGGTGGGCAGCTGGCTGCGGGGCGGAGAGGAGGAGGAGAAGGAGACAGAGTCTGGGTGTGTTTAATAGAGGGGCTGGGGTTACAGGGGCCAAGCTTCTTCTCAGCCTGTGCTTGCTAGGAGGCTCTGGCTCTGGTGAGTCCACTGGGCCCTATGCTGGTTGCAGGGTGAGCCACATGGGGGGAGTGCTGAACACCCCCAGACTGTTTCTGTCCAGTGGTTGGAGAGGGGTTTCAGATGCTGGTTAGCAGAGAGTCCATACTGTGGTCCTCCATACCTTGGATACCTGGAATTTTGTTTATGTCCCCTTCCCTCTTCCAGGGGTCCACTGGAGGTGACTGGCCTTAATAGTCAAGGGGAAACAAGGACAAAGGAGGACAAGAGGGGGTCCAGTGAGGGCCTTTGGGCTAGCTTTAATGGGAATGATGATGATAATTGCACTAATTTTATAGGATTGCTGGATGTATTAAAGAAGGCACTGCATGTACATGCTCTGTGTGATGTCTGCCGCTGCCTGGTGCAGTGACTGCAGCTGCACCAGCCCTCAGCCTGTGAGCGTCTCCCAGACAGTCTTCCCTCTTGATGCCTTGGGCACCTGAATGAGGTCTGTCATCTCCATGCTCTGACAGCGTTTGTGGGCTGAGAATGGGACAGGACAGCAGGATGGCATTTCAGTTCTGGCTTTAAGTTGCAGTGTGACACAAGGCAAGCTCCTTCCTCTCTCTGGGCCTCCGTTTTCTTTCCTGCACTGTGAAGGACTTGGCTGGAAGATCTTTGAGGCCCTTCGGCCACAGGAATGTGGTGCCTGGGTCATGGGCAGGGTATTACTTTCTGATGTTATTGACTCTTTCTGGGGAAAGGCAACTCCCTCTACTCCACCTTTGCTGATCTGATCTGCTGGTTTCCTCTACAAGACGGGCTTCTGGAGATGGGTCTTCACCTGGGGGATCTGAGGTCAAGACTCTGTTCCATTGCCTCCCTGATGCATGCCCTGAAGACAGCCCAGGACAGGGGTGTTGCCTGGGTTACTTTCAGGGCTCTTGCCCCATTTGGCCTGCACAGCCCAACCCTGGAGGCACAGGGAGCGTTCACCGTGTCCTGCTGTGACACGTGGCCAGAGGGCAGTAGAACCCGAGCCCTCCTGGCAGGCAGGGGATCCTCATGGAGCTAGCCAGGCCCGGCTCAGAGTCGCAGCCTGCCAGCCTCCAAACCAGCTGTCACCTGGGCCACTACATAGAAGTCACGCCATGGGGGGTGGCATCAGGCTGCTGGAAAGCGTGTCCCTTGCTCTGGGGCCAAGGAGAGGAATGAGACATCAGCCTGGCGCCGACTGGCCTGAAGAGACAGCTGGCTGTGCAGGGAAAGCTGAGACAAAGTCCCAAGTTCAAGACTGGCTGGTAGCCTCAGGACAGGGATTGCTGATGGTCTGACCCACTGCCAAGAAGAGAGCAGGGCCAGACCTACTGAGGCCTGGCCCTGAAGCCCATCCTCCACCTGACTGACCTGCACTTGGTTTCTGCTCCTCCTCTGGGCCTTGGCTTCCCCATCTGGGCCAAATAGGAAGGTGCTGAGAGAACAGATTTTGTGGTGTCTTTACTTAAACCTTGGGGACCCTCTACCTTCAGCCTTTAGTGGCAATACTACTATGAAGGGTAAGTACGTGCTGTGTAACTGTCTGCTGCTGTAGACACCCTCCTCACTGCAGAATAACCTTTCCTCACATGTCCTGGGCCAGGCTGGTACCTATTCTCCCATTCTCTAGAAGGGAAACGACTTTTGTTATGATTATAAGGAATGACAATCTGGATGGTTCAGTACATAGTTGAAAGAGGTCTGCGCTGACTGAACTCCAGCTCTCCTAGGGGATCTTGAGGAATTCTCTTCCTGTCTGGGCCTCAGTTTCCCTCTTTGTAGTGTGAGCTCTTTGGGTCAGGAGATCTACAAACTTCTTTCCAGTTTTGCCTCAAGGTCTCTAACTTCCCCCTGGACATTTAACCTTTTTCCCCTTGCTTTGTCTCTGAAATGGATTAAATGGGAAAGACTAAAAGTCAAACAGCTTGGCTACAGACCAGTTCCAAGGACAAAGACTCCCCTAACCTCTCCTGCAGAGGGCAGTTAGAAAAGTGCTGCCCCCAACACTGTTGGCAGAAAAAGACAGGGTGCTTATGTTCATATCTGGCCACGGTGGAGGACTGTTACTAGTGGTCACAGACACACTGGGGTTTTTTTGAGAATGTTTGTTCCTGAGTGAAAGTCAGCTGACACTTGGCACCAGGCCTTTCTGGAATTATCTTCATCTTAGAGCCATGGTTTATTTTTCCACAGGCCTTGAGGTTAAGGGGATTCCAGAACCTTCACGTGAGCAGTAGTACCCAGTATCCTGGGGCTGCTGCCTGTGAGGCTACCTCTCCCAGCATCTGCCACCCCACTGCTGACAGGGAGCTGGCTGTGGCACCCAGGGCCCTCAGGGCATCCTGGATCATGTGAGACTCTCAGGAAGCCAGTGCTCACCTCTCAGGCATCTCCCCGAGAACCGCTGCCACGGCGTTGTCAGCACGCCTGTGTCAAATGGCTTCACCTGCATGTGCCAGCAGAAGGGCCACTCTGTGGGCAGGCCTCCTGGCTGTCCTGTCACCCTGCTCGTGGCTGACACACACTCACAGCCACGTCACTCACCC